ATCCTGCAAACAAAAGACTTTATGCGGACGTTGCGCGGACGGTCATAATACAATATCATGCCTCTCTAAAGAAATTAAACCTGCAAATTCTGGCGACGAACATTCCGCTAAACAGGATGTGTGGAGTACTTCAAAGCCACAGGTATCACTACAATTGCCAGATTGCATAGAATAAATTGGACCAAGGCATGTCATATTTTCTCTGAAGAAGAGACCAAACTACGAGTCGAAAGTGACAAATTATTAGGAGAGCCGTCTCCTGCAATTCCGCCATGTTCACCAATTGACAGTGAAAAGAGTCACATTAAACTATATAGCCAGTGTTTAAATCAATAAAGAAATCAAATGGTCAATTTAATTGGGCTTGAAGGCTACTGTTACCCATAATGTTAAAATACCTATTATTGTAAATACCCTAGCTACCGCTGCTGACCTGTGTTTGTACATATTTGTATAAAGTATCAAAGTGTAAGTGTCCCCCTCATATGGAACACAAATTATACACAATTATAACAAAATTATCAAACAATTTACTGCTAAAACAAACATGTTTTCACGACCAATGTACGTATCACTGATATAGTTAGCTACCTACTTACATGAATAAATACACACCACATTGAATAGGGGAAGTACATTCCTGACATTGCTTTAAAAAGAATCTTATTTGTTAAAGAGAAGATGATAGTAGTTATAAGAGACGGCACTCTTTATTAACATCTCGTTCATTTAACTTCAGTCTATTTAAATATGCTGCTTATTTTTACAAATCTAAGCATTTTAACTAGGTATTGGAGTAATCCCATCTTATTCCTATCATAAGTTACGAGCTTGTGATGGAAATAATGGTACACACGTAAACACATGTACAGATAAAACTGTAGTTAAAATAATATCACTTTCCTTTTAAATAAAGTATATGCTCACCCATATGGTTCATTCCGGTGGCGAGGGTAAATAAACCAAATGCACACACATACAATGTATTATAGGTACAAGGGGTGAAAGGAAAGAAAAAAAATTGAAAGAAAAAACTTACTGTTAACATCAATTTAACTAGGACATCACAAAACATTCAAAATTTGTAACAATACACAATACATATAAGTGAAACATAAACGTAGTACTACTAGGGAGTTAAAACCGGTTTTTAGGCGCGCAAAATTTCACTCTTAGCCACAGAATGTTCCTAAATGACTAAACAGTTCAATGAATCACCACCTAGTCAAATTCTAACAATTGTCACGGTTGTATTAGACGAAAGAATCAAAACACATAAATAATCGACATGTAATTATGTACAAAAAAGTTCTTATGACCTAATTAATAACCTTAACAAAGGATCGTAATAATGGAAGGCAAAGCAAAGAAGGAAATCACCTACAAGGGTCCAACGAAGCAAGGCAGAAGACGAACATTAAGATAATTTAGTCCAAACTGTCAACCATAGAGTATTGCACTTAGTGCGTCAGATGTAATCAAAAGAGGAAAGCGTTGAGACCAAGAGTAAAAGGTATGTTCACTATGCATGCAGTATGTCTTAAAATAGTAGAGTAGTCATAACCTCTCTATTAAACTGTTATTTGTATCATAGTTTGGGTACCTTTCTGTTGAAAATGTGTCAGAGTTAAATCGTTTACAAATACATGCACAATGCGTTAACTGGAGTGAAGGTATTAGTTACCCGCACTCAAGATAATGGCCATTGATTGGCTCATTTTGTCTGGGGTTTACTTATTGTGCCGTCAGAGAAAGGGATATCGACAGAAATATCATATTTAGATGTTCGTTCATTAGTTACTTTTGTCTGGGGTTTCATATTGTGACAACAGGGAACGTGTTTTCATGTTTGACTATGATACAAAAGAGAAAGAACATCAAAACACTCGGCAATCTGATTTATACTCGGGGGGGGGGGGGGCTACGCCCCCTCGTACTTAATCAGATAGCCTCGTGTTTCGATGCTCTTTCTTGAAAACCGTGTTGATTCCTTGCCAGAGGTTGTGCCATATACAGTGTACAGTAGTTTGGTAGACTTTTGTAGTGGATGTTAAATGTAGTTCAAAGTACGTGGATGTTGCCGGCAGTTGGCAGATAAGTTAAAATGAAACTGTTTTTCTTAAAATAATATTTAATTTTAATCTTATATCGTTTAATTTTCATGATAAATTACATTATTATATTCATGGTAAAATTTTAATATTGAGTATGAAGCTTAAAAAGATTTTCTAATAAAAGAATAAAAGATCAGATGGGTTGTTAACATACTAAAACAGGAAATTTTAGAATGTATTATAATACAAAACAATATGAAAATTCTCGAATCATAAAACATACTGCACGCAATCCGCCAGTAAGGTACTTATGTCAGAATTGTTTGTTTTGTTGCTTTTGGAAAATGAGATTTAGGCAATGCATAAAATATATAGTTAACTTAAGGTTACAGATTTGATATTAATTTTAATAAGATATTCTAGTATGTTATTACGGAATATTTTCTTTCCTGGAAATTATTCAGATTTGGTTTATATTGATTATGATCTAAATCATTTTCGGAAGACAATCTAAATGTTATCCACTCTGCATTACACTAAATATTTGTTGCTACGCTGGCAATCTTTTTTTCATAATATATGTTAGAAAGATGTGTAATCAAGTCGCTCTTAATCAAAATTTAGATTAGTTGCCTGCTGTTTAATTTTGTCTGTGATATGCAGGCTTCATAATCTCTGAACATCTAATCTCCTTTCAAAATTCCATTTTATTTAGTTTCGCCTGTTGTTTTAAACGCACTTGTTTACTTGGAGACCATATGCAGCTTTTCATGGAATGGCACTTACGTGACACATTAAAGGTTCCATGATAACATTTGCGATGTTTGATAATTTAAGATATAACCAGATCATGTTAAATGTTGTGTTCTGCTTTCGCCTATGCCGGTAGCTTGCAATTACATATCTAACATCCATGAACAGACTGAACTCGAGTCTGCATAATTTTAAATTTTGCCGTTAGGGATTCTGTTTTTCTCTTTTTTATTGGTACAAGAGCAACAAATGAACGTGTTGTTTTTTATGGGTGCATCCATAGTGTGTCATTAAAATGTTGATTATGTACAAAGCAGACAGTATAAAATATACAATCTGTTTCATTTTAATTATTTACACTGATTTATATTTATCTACTCTTGAATGTTTTTTTGGACAGTGACCACCCCCGCTTGTGGTCGAGGGATTGCCTTTTAGGGTTGAGGCATCAGGATTGCAGCCACGGGTCTTCCCTGCGTTTCGAAAGAGGCGACTAAATGGGTTAAAATTACTGGAGTATATGCATCCATTAGCTTAGACAGGTGTTTCATTACATTTATAACACTCGAGGAAAGCCAAAATAATCTTTCATGTTCCTGCGCAATATGACATTAGGTGTGTTGGTGCGCCGGCATAAAACCAAACACAATAATAGTGGACGGTGACAAGTAAGCATTGATATTTTAAACTGCAGCATCTAAAGAGTAAGCATACATATGTTTACAATTTTATCAATGATAGACTAAAATTTGCTTTTGAATTAATGAATCCGATTTAACCACATATTAATAGCATAAGCAAAAACGTAATCCCTCGGAAGCATTAAAGCAGCACTTTCATGAAAGTTTTAGAAATGTATTTGAAAGAAGAATATTGTGAGGTGAACAAAAATAGTAATTTACATATTGCAATCGGCACTTACCAATCTAAGAAAATTACTAAAACGTTGTCAACATATACAAAAAGAGCCCTTACTGCGTTAGTTAGGCAGAAGAAATATGGTGATAAAATACTGCAAAATCAGTCGTAAACCGCACAGTTAATGTTAAATATAACTTGAATCTTGAATGTTTTTACCTTTTTTTTCAAAATTTTATAACATTTTACTTTATATCGATTTTCTTGAAATATTTTGGCTCATCTGGAGGCGTGCACCTTGAAAATACCAAAATTACATGGAAATTGCAGACTTAGTTATGTACATTCCATGCTGGTGACGGGTGGATAGCTGATCTGAAAATCATGACAAAACCAACATAGTGCGTTTGCGACCAGCATGGATCCCGACCAGCCTGCGCATCCGCGCAGTCTGATCAGGATCTATGCTGTTCGCTATAAGTTTATCTACGTATAATAAGGTTTTTATATCAGCATGGATCTTGATCAGACTGCACGGATGCGCACGCTGATTTGGATCCATGCTGGTCGCAAACGCACTATATTGGTTTTGTTATGGTGCGGCTCAAATGTGTTCATAATTCGCGTCTTCTAGGCGGTTGTCTTTATCAATCGGGGTAACTATAATGCTTGTTGCTGTATTTCCGATGTTTGGGTCGCTCATTACATATTCAGTTCTTTTTGGAATGCTTTCAGGTGCTTAAATTTAACTGAACGTTCTTTTAACTTTTCTTCATTTGTATGCACGCACGCCTATTAGAAATTAATAAGGAGCCCGATTGGAGGACATTTTAATTTTATTTTATTAAGTCTTTGTGCTCAGATACATTAATATTACATATGGAATAAAAAGGCTATTTGTATCAATTCTATCACAAAAAAATTATAAAAACCTCCATGTCGTGTTGTAACGTATTTATAATGCTGCTAAAGAACTTTCTATTTGACCCTGATTAGTGAATTTTCGTTTAACGAAGTAGATCATATTGTATCAAGCAATATTGGAAGGTCACCTATCGACAAAACAAAGGTTTATTAAATGATACATTTGTAAATAATCAAACGACCTCGTAACTTGTATTACAAGAATATAATGCTTCTAAGATTGACTGGGAAATTCCGGAAAAGGATGGAAGCAAACTTTAAAAGGTGAAAATTTTGCAATCTGTCTTAGTGAGAAACAAATGAGAACAAAGATCAACAAGGCAAAGGTAATATTCGAAGGCAAACATCATTTTATCTCTTTTTGTTAAAGAAATGTGTCAAAGTAGAAAAACAGATGTTTAATTTGCCAATATTCATTTTATTCTGTATATACATTAGCCATCAGAGTGTAAGAGAAATCCACTGAAAGTTGAAGATGACTCAAAAATGTCTGACAAATACTGACAAAACAAGGAAATCTTATCACCACGCTGGAGTTGTAATGTTATCGTTGCACTTCTAGAGTCTGTACTATCTTGCGGATTTTTGATAATTTTTGCCATGGTGTGACCGTTCTTTGAAATATGACAATCAATTGTAGATCCAGCAGAACTGATTAACGAAGCCATGAAAACATAAACACCTGGATAAGAGCATGTAAAGTCGCCAGTCTCATTGTTGTAGGAAGACCCTTCTTCAAATATTTTACTGGTAAATGCTATTGTAGTACATGAAGTATAAGGTAATTTAAAATCAAATAGAACGTACGGTTTTTTACACGCCATTGACTCTTTTTGTTCTAAGTATTGCAAAGCCCCAACATAAACCGGGTGAGAGTACGAAAATGACGAGAGCTTTCCTGAAAATATTTATTGTTGTTATCATTTGTGTACGTGTATTATAATACACAATTCTGAAGAGAAACAAAACTGTTTTATTTTCTACAAGAATGATTGTTTTTCTTAAAACTATGCCAAATTTTGAAGAAATAATGTGTATAGATTTCGTTTTTATATAATGTTAATAACACATTCTCTAAGAAATATTACTTCAACACATTTTAAAGCTTAAATCCATTGCAACTTACGAGGACAATTCATTTGATTGCATGCTGTTACGTCATGTTGAAGCCCGGTACAAAGTCTTCCTCCTGCAGATGGCATGGGATTGTTACAATCTCTAAAGTGAGACTTTATCCCACCTCCACAACTTGCTGTACATGCTGTCCAGGAGGTCCATGCGCTCCAACCACCATCGGTTACTATGTAACAAAGTTATTTTGAAGATTATACTTTGTTCTTGTCATCTAGCGAACTTATAAAATGAAACTTAATCTAGATTTGTATAATATTTAGAAGAGTTAGACCTGATTAAGTAATACCCTCTGCACAAGTTGATTCAGCTGGTTTTAAAATCGCCGTCCATCATTTCCGGAACTTCGTCGACAAGTATGTTTGCTATTTATACAGTGTCAGTCCGTCAGCAAGTATCTTGGAAAAAACTATTCGTTACTTATTATTTATTACCTTTTTAGTTCTTAAATCCTAAAGTTAAACCAGAAATTGTTTTATTTAAGATAGCTTTTCAAATAACATGACTTGAACCCGTATAAATATGTTATTCCTTAATATTAGTAATTCATTTTTGTTTAAATCGCTAATGAAGGAAATACGTGTATCATATTACCAAATCATTTTTGTTTAAATCGCTAATGAAGGAAATACGTGTATCATATTACCAGGACAAACTGCATCGACACATAGTCTATCATCCCTTGAATCACCATAACAATGGTCTCCAAAACGTGCAGGATAGGGATTTGAACATGTTCGGTCTCTACGTTGCATTCCAATACCGCATGTTGTACTGCAGCTTCCCCAACTACTCCATGTTGACCAGTGACCATGCACTAAAGAAACAAAGTTTGCTATTTAACGTGTTTCTGCAGGTGTAACACTATTTAAAAATAGCATTGAATATGACCCAAACTTGAATCAGTCTTTTAAGCAGAATTAAAACACATTTTAATCGTCGATAAAATAATCGTAAGTATAAGTTTTGGGTGACAAAGAGCGGACCATTTGGTTAACATTACCGAACGTTGTGTGTAACAGACTTTCAAAAGTGGGCAAGGGACGGTTACACACGACATAATGTCATATAAGGTTACGAAATCGTCAATAATTACCAAATATATCCAACAAATTATGTTTTGTAAACGCTTCAACACCATAATTATAAACACTTACATTTGTAGGAAGAAAACAACGCATTGTTTTTGCTATAATAATTTGGTTAATAATAAACTAAACTCATAAATTTACTGGTTTATGATTTCATATGATTTCTAAATAGATTGGTACCGCTACTTATCACGTTACTATTTTTTAGCTCAATTAAGTCGTCATCTCATGAAAGTTCTTCCAATCACAACCAATTTTAAATTTCTGGGGTGTTCTTAACTTATTTCCAGGTGTATATATAAAAAATTAAGAGTCTTGTTGTATTTTAGTTCTATCTTTTCGGCTTTCTAATAATTTGTTGGTTCCAGTATTCTCACTTAAATAGTGTATAATCACCCTAAGGATATCTTGTCTTCGTTTTAAATTTGTCTTTTTACGTCTTTTCTGTGAGACGCAGGCTTCAAAACCTCAGATCCCCTTTCAAATTCCATTTTATTTAGTCCGCCCATTGATTTTCGTTGTTTCTAAATTCAAAATGTTATCATTTCATGTCTAAATGTTAAATTGTCATAAGCCAGTGCTGGGGGGGGGGCGTGGGCGGTTACCTGCACTTTCCATTACCGTTCATGAATAGGCTAAATCAAAGCGAGCCCTCAAAATTTATAATTTCGTCGTTTTGGGCGTTATTTAGGGATTCTTTATTTCTCTCTTTTTGCTAATTTGATGATTTCAACAAATACTGGCATTTAGTAACTTATATATATATAACCTGGGCATGGCTGAAGAGTGCACATTTGAGTCTCGTCAGGGTGTCCTTGACAATTATGACCCCCTCCCGTAGGGACTGGCTCTGTACACGTCCTTTTACGCGACTGGTGTCCGTCTCCACAAGTTACGTCACAGCTAGACCAGGCATGCCATGAAGCCCACTGACCATCCTCTGTTTAATTATGTTTAAATTATAATTCAATGAAGTTGAAACTTTTTACCTATTTCAATTGAACGTATCAAGTGTTGCGAATGTTTCAACAATAATGTGTTCGTTTTCAAATTGTATACTTTTTCAAAACCTTTTAGAACAATAAGGTTATGGTTCCTTTTATAGCATTCGGCACGATATGGCCAGTTATGTGTTGACGTGCCGTAAAAATCCAAATAAACAAACAAATATATGGCTCCCATAAAGTCTCGACCTTCAAATGTATGAATAAATGAAATTACGAATAATAAAAAACATAAATGGATTTATATTGAAATTGTCGCGTTTCATTTAGGAATGTCCGAACAATTTATTTGGCTAATCAAATAATACCGTAGCTACATAATCCGCAAAATCGTCGACAAACTGATAAAGCTCTCTGTGTATCTGCACATATATTTGCAAATTGTTCAAGGGTGAGACAGTCTATGTTTTCTCTGTCTGAACACTCTTTAAGCGAATCTTGAAATTATAATCGAAACAAAAAGTTATAATAATATATTAATTACAAATAAAGTGGATATTTCGTAAAAATTCCTCCTTGACATATCGTAAAATAAAATACTTATGATTATCATATTTTTATGGTATTTTATGTCTGAACACATTTCTGCAAAATACTTAATAGATTTTAGTGTACATTGTTTATGACTCTCATCGCCGTCCGTTCGAGCCGCGCAAGAGTATACGAATTCTTTAATGTTTTAGCCTACGGAACGTCTTTGGTGCTTTTCAGGTGCCCGTTTGTGCCTGAAATAACGCACATAGAAACACTTGAGGTCTTCCCCCACCTCACTATATGACTTATACTGTGTTGGTGCGACGAAACACCCATTACAACAAACAACAAAAAGGCAAAATTGACAACGAATTGAAACCTCATTTTACTCGTGATGAGAAAGAAGACCTAGAAAGTATTACAATTTAAATTATCCTTCTCATATATTGTTTTGAACACGGTAACTCACATGTTTGTTGGCACAGATGTCTATTACAATGATTCTCTTTGCAGCACTGGGAACATGATGACGTAGGCAAAGACCGCCCTACCAGTGACCCTCCAATTGACATATTTCCTGTATTTGAAACAACTGATGTACAGTTCTGAAATATACATTCAAGTGAAAAAACTAAAATTTCAATACACGAATTAATCAGAAATACCATATAATTTTATTCAAGAAATAAATTAACCTTCAACGTTTGATATTAATAACACAAAGTTGATCATGAAATTATTTGTGAAATCTAAGGTATTCAACTAAATTATTAAAAACATCATCAGCCAGAACATCTTTTATTTATTGTAGCAGGGGGCATATAAATTAAGTCTGAAAGTTTGAAATATGTACACATATGAAAATTGTAAAGTCCACTTACTGTCTCAGATCGACATCCGAATGAATACAGTGTCCTGTTTCCTTGTGGTAGGAAGTCAGTAAAGCATATCTTAAATAAATCAAGCGGTAAATAGCAACGGAATTTAGTCTTATATAGAAAGTACTGTCGATTAGCAAGTATTGGTACATGGAACAATAGAATCCTAGTTTTGTTGCTGTATCAAAGGCAATGACATTACAATTTTTTAAAGTTACAACATGTATATAAAAGAGCATTTAATTTTATGTTTATAAGAAATCTACCTCATCAGCGTTGCACGTTTTTGTAGTCTTACATTCAGCAACTGTCTGGACACTGCTACAGGCAAAACACTCAGTTGCCGCTAAATGGAAATAAATTTATAATTACATAAAAAATCGACCACAACCAGCACACAAGTTTATACATATCATTAGTCTAAAATACTATTTTGAGAAATATTCAACCTATTAGAAATTTGTATTGACAAAACATCTTTTCTTGGTTTTGTATTGTTTTGAATTTCTGTTAGTTCTTGGCAGCTTACACTTTCATTTATAACAATTCTTTTGATGTATACACCAAAAGTATCATTTCAACAGTAGCGTCAATGAATATTGAATAATTGTAAAGCAATATTGTTAAGAATTAAGTGATCACATCTCCAAATCTGGCGTAATATATCATATTACATATTTGTACCAAAAGTATTGAGTTAGGTACAATTGAACTTACCAGATGTCGAAGTAACACCAAAAAGAATGATGCAGATTACTGAAAGAGAAAATTGAATGTTACAGTTAAAATGGCTAATAAAAGTATATTAGATAGTATGTAAAATACATAAATAAGACAACTTCATATTTTTTAATCATAACATTTATAAATATTATTAATTTTATTTACCAAAAGAGATCTGCATCGCTTCGTAATTTCTTGTACAATGTCATTCAATTTTAATGCGTCTTTGATAAGAGCCATTTAATGTACAATGTTTCCTAATTAGTAACAGAATGAGATAATAAATTATGTCATTACGGTCATTTACAATTAACATTTGAAATAAGTAGGTTATTACGTTTGATTATGGTAAAACGATTCAGTTGAATGATATCCGGATCGATTGTTTAAACATATTTTATTGTATGTATAGGTTATATGTTAAATACATAGTTTTAAAAAATTCATTTTCCAGCGAACGAGGTGAAGCGAGAAAATTAGTTTCTTCAAACTCTGTATGTAACCTTTAACCGACATACAGTTAGCCCGTCCATTCAAATTAAGTGCAGCACAATCCATTTAATCGGCTCATTTAACGTATTAATTTTAATTCATAAGAGTAACGGCACTTTATGGTAAATATTTCGGCAGAAGTTTAACAAAATAGGACGATTTTATTGACAGACATACTTTGGCGAATTGTAAAATATATACATAGTTAAAATTACATGAAGTTTCACAATTATGAACAATTGTATCATAAATTTGGGACCTTTCTGCTGAAAATGTGTCAGACTTAAATCGTATACATATATATGCACAGCGCGTTAACTTGAGTGCAGGTATTAGTTACCCGCACTCCAAAGCATGCCCATTGAGTGACTCATTTTTGCTGGAGTTTATGTATTGTGACTATGATACAAAAGAGAAAGAACATCAAAACACTCGGCAGTTTGATTAATACTCGGGTACAAATCAGATAGCCTCGTGAAACCTTCGGTGCTCTTTCTTTTACTTATACATAAATACATTTATGTAAATATACAAAAGAGTATAGCGAAGTTATAAGAACATTATCAAAGGGCCCGCCCTTTTTGTATATTTACATTAAAAGTATAATTGTGTATTGTTGTGATATTTTATGTTTGTGTATTCGGATCGTTCATTTGAAAATCTCTAATTACAATAGGCTGTACTAACAAGATCATCTGTAAGATAAACATAGACTGTAAACGTTGTATTTTCAACACTTAAAGTGCCGAAATTAATGATCCTGAAGGACCAGAAAAAATATAACAACACTGAATGCATAAGTAAGTGCTGTTACTTTATGGCATGTGGTAAGCATATTAAGATATATCTGATTTCTGTTGTCTAGACTTATGTACAAAAACAAATAAAACAATAACAAACAAACAAACAAAACATAAAAATAAAAACAAAAAGCGTTTCACTAAATAAATAAAAAAATCTTTTAAAACAAAAATCATGAAAAAATATGGCAGTTAGTCGATAAATATGTTCGGAATTTAAAAAGGAAGCCCAACACGTCAAAATTGAAAATATTGCAGGTCCGGTTTGATTGAGCCCGTTCATAGACAGTACTAGAACGTGCAAGTTAGCGTCCACTCACAAACTCTCAAATATCTTTTTGCAACATGTATATAAATAATATAATATATGCAAAAATTGCCCTTCGACATAACTTTGACATAATTCTAATAATTTCCACTTCCACGAAAATGTCTCTGTATGTCCCTGTACATTAATCGGTGACAAAAGTCGACATTGCAAATATAATCATTTCATTCCCCCAAACATTTATTAGAGTTTACATACTAGATTGTACAAATAAAACAAGAAACCTTTATTCTTGGGAAATTCATGATTGCCAAGTGTGTTCTTATTATCTCCCTTTGACTAGAAATATAAGATTATGTCATCATTTTACTAAAACCAACTGTAATGTTTGTAAAAGATACGGTAAATATGTTACTAAAATAAATAATAATGCAGTAGTAAACCAAAATTTCATTAGAATAAAAGATCTTAAATTAATAAATAACCTGCACTTTCAGCCAATAAAATAGTTCAATGTATGTTAACATGTTTTAGAAGTAATTTGCAAACAATTTACGTTTTAACAACAGTTATTAAACTTAAGCATACTCAGCATACTTCTTGCATTTCAAAGTACATATTTTGTTTATTGGTTAGTAAAGCTATTTAAAACAACGACAATTGTCCAAGATGAAACTCAACAAAATATTGTAGTTATCTATGATCACAAAATTAATTCTTTTACGACTTCTAAGACCAATTACAGATGGGGGTTTAGGGATCAACTCCGGTATACATTTTGCAATAAGGTGAATCTTTATTTTTCTCTCGGAAATCAAAAATGTGCAGAACAAAAACTTTCAAATATAAATTGATTATCAGTACTTGGCTGTCGTTTACAAATATTTTTATACGTTTGATTTTCGGATAAATCGTTTAAAATTCACTGCTCATCTTATTTCGAGAAAGTACATAATTAAAGTTTGTTATAGAAACATTTTAGTACATCAAAATGTAATTAATGTCCTCATAAATGGCGTCTGTTTTCCTTTCGGTGTATTATAAGTCTGGTTTAAGCCTTAATGTTTCCTTCATTTATAAATAGCATGTTGTTTATAAATGTTAGCATGCTACTGCTTGGATCGTCTTTTCATGTGATTTTATTATGCTTTAAAACAAAATTATTTACAACATAATCAAAATTAACAAATTCTTAGATATCACAGAAACAACCGGTTTATTTGAAACATGTATAATAAAGATATATCAAAATATTTATAGTTTATCATATTTTCAAACATCATGCTTTTTGGCTGAATAAAATTTATCATGAGTTACGAAAATGATGAGCATCGTTTTTGTCTTTTTTTTTCAAATTCAAAGAAAAATTCAAACCCAAAATGGAACATCCCACAGCATCTTTTTTACTCTGAAAGAGTTATAGAGAATATTGAATTTTATGATTATATTTTACAGGGTCGTCTTTAAAAGAACTTTCATTCTGTGCAATGATTTTTCAACAGCAGCAACACACGTTAACCCCCTCCCTCACACACACCGCTGAAAATGCGGCGGGGGTATGGTAACATACGAAAGCATTATATGGTATTGGTTCATTTTTTCTGGGGTTTATTTTTGAGACGAAAGGAACAGGGCACAAGAGAGGGAAAAAGCACTAAAATAGCATTTTTTGCTGATTTGTGATACAAAATATAATGAAATTGTAATACAATTGTTATTATATATGAAACTCTTTAGTTACTGATATAACACTGGCAATAAAATCGTCTCGGCCTGACGGCTTGGATATCTTTTTGAGCAGAAACATTCATCAACATTCATCGATGTCGCCCCAGCCAGTATTATCCTCGTAACAGACTCGTTTATGTTAAAGATCCTGTAACACATTTTATTATGGTTGTATATCATAAATATAATGCTCAAATGAAGATTTATCAATTATTGTAAGTTCCAAAAAGCATTATTTGTAAAAATATTACTGAATTTACATTTTCATGTTAATAAAGGGAGTTAATTAAAAATTTATTTTCTAAAAAGTTTAAGTCAATTCTTTCAATAAGAAAATAATGCATATATTTTGATGATAACATATAATGTGAAGAAAAAATTGCAGTATGAATTTTACATATTCTACGATGTTTGAAAAATGGTTTAGAATCAAAATTATATACATATATAAAATTACATTTAAGTGTGGTAACAAGCTAAATTACAGCATACAGGATCTTTAACTATTTCTTTTGATAACAATTTTAAAAGTAAAGATTGACAATAATAATAATGAAAAAGATGAAAATTGATAATCATTATACAAATGAAAATCATACATAAAAGGTACATACTAAAAATACATTTATTGTTTGTCTTGTAAAATAGCTTGCCTGAAAGAATTGCAAACTTATGTGAAATAAATTGACAATATTTACAAGGTACATTTAAATCTTTTTACATACAAACAACACATTTTTAATAAAGATGTGTTTTGTGATGCAAAAGAAATAGATATTCCATGAGTCTTTAACATGCAAACTATAGTGTATTCAAGGTACTTCGCAATGTCTTGAACAACCTTTTGTGCTATATGCTAGGTCTTTTTAGTCAATGTTATTTTTTTATATTTCCTGCTTATAGTGTTGGGGCGTCCGTGGCCGAGTGGTTAAAGTCGTTGACTTCAAACCACTTGTCCCTCACCGCTGTGGGTTCGAATCCCGACAGGAACTTTGGATTCTTTCATGTGAGGAAGCTATCCAGCTAACTTACGGAACGTCGGTGGTTCTACTCAGGTGCCCGTTCGTGCCTGAAATAATGCACGGAAGCGCACCTGAGGCCTTCCTCTTCTAGTAAAGCATGAACGTCGCGATATGACCTATACTGTGTCGATGTGACGTAAAACCCAAAACAAACAAACAAACAAACTTATAGTTTTACATCTGTTCAGTAACATCATTGCTTTAGAAAATGTAATTATAAATAATTTGCAGTTTTGATCAAAATATCCTGGAAATTGGCCAGGAAGGTTGCTTTCATGGTTTTTGAGATCAAGTTTGAATATGGGTCATCTCCGGTCAAAAAATAGGTCACATGACCTAAGAATAGATTAATCTTGTTAACACTCTAGTGGCTGCAGTTTTAATACCAAATATTCTGGAAATTGGGATTGTTTTGATGATTCTTTGGCCAAGTTCGGATATGGGTCCTCTCCGGTCACAGTACATAGGTAACCAGATAATGGACGTTAAATTAAGAATGAAGTACCATTTAGTCTCTTCCATGCCTTTTTTATATGTTTTATATGAAAATGTGTCCCCTAAACAAAATGAAAAATGGCGCAAATTATTTTATAAAATTTAAAGTGAAATTTGCATGACGAATACATGTTAAGTACATGAAATATTTATGTCAATTTGAGTACAAGCCAATTAACACTTTAGAAGTACGATTCAGTAACTGGTTAGTCATGACATGTACATGTATATTATGTTAATGTTTGACAGTTATATGTTTTTCTTACTTTTTATTATTATCTACATTTGAAGTTCTGATAAATGGTTTAGTTTTCTTTTTTTGAAATATTTTTTAGTACCGAGCTAAAAGTATCAAATCTTAAAGTTTTAAATATAAAAGTAAACAGATACTGGTAATATATATTCAACTTAAATGTTCAAAGTCATTTTAATTTGATATTTTTATGTCTAAGTGTTCAGATACATTGATATTACATATGGAATATGAAAAGCTATTTGTATCATTTCTTTTATCACGAAATGTCACAAAAAATCTTCATGTCTTGATGTAACATTTTTATTATTCTGCTGAAGCAGTTTGTATATGTCCCTTATAAATGGTTATTCTTTTAACGAAGTAGATCATATTGTAATCAAGCAATATAGTATGATACGACAAAACAAAGGTATATTAAATGATTCTTTTGTAAATAATCAGGGCACCTCGTAATTTATTACTAGTATTAAATGTTTCTAAGCAGTGGGAATATCCGGAAAAAGGTTGAACAACCGAATCAAAATTTAAACGGTAAAATTGTGCACCCGGCCTTTGTGGAAAAAATGAGAACAAAGAACAACATGGAAAGGGCAATGTTCAAAGGCAAAACTCATTTTATTTCTTTTTTATTATACATTAAATATATGAGTCATAGAAGAAAAACAAATGTTTGATTGGCTAATATTCATTTTATACATGTATATACATTAGCTATCAGATTGTAAGAGAAATCCACTGAAGGTTGAAGATGACTCTAAAATTTCAGAAAAATGCTGACAAAACAAGGAAATCTTATCACCACGTTGGAGATGTAATGTTATCGTTGCACTTATAGAGTCTTTACTATCTGACGAATATTTGATAATTTTTGCCATGGCGTGATTGTTCTTTGTAATATCACAATTAATTTTTGATCCAGCAGAACTGATTAACGAAGCCATGAAAACATAAACACCTGGATAAGAGCACGTAAAGTCGCCAGTCGTACTGTTGTAAGAAGACCCTTCTTCAAATATTTTAGTGTCAAAAGCAACGGTGGAACAGGTATATATTGATCCAAAAGAAAAGATATGACATAACTTTTCTTTGTAGCGAAAAATCTCAGTCATTACAGGATGAGAGTACGAAAATGACGACAGCTTTCCTGAAAACATATATTGTTATAATCATTGTTGTACATGTATAATACTACACAATTCTAAATAAAAAAGAGAAAAATAACTGATTTATTTTCTACATCTGATTTTTCTTCTTAAAATGATGTCAATTTTTTTAGAAAGTAATGTGTAAAGAAAATCGTTGTTTTATTATGTTATTAACAAATTCTCTAAGAAATATTGCTACTACACATTTAAAAGCTTAAATCCATTGCGACTTACGAGGACAATTCTTCTGATTACATGATGTTACTTCATGTTGAAGTCCAGTACAAAGTCTTCCTCCTACAGATGGCATAGGATTGTTACAATCTCTATAGTGAGACTTTATCCCACTTCCGCAACTTGCTGTACATGCTGTCCATGATGTCCACGTGCTCCAACCACCGTCGGTTACTATGTAACAAAGTTACAGTTATATGTTTATTTTTTAAGATAATACTTTGTTCTTGTCGCCTAGTGAACTTCTAAAATGAAATTTATCTAGATTGTGTATAATACTTTAGACGCGATAGTCCTTTAATATCTTCGGCACAAGTTAATTCAGCTGATTTTAAAATCGCCACCCATCATTTACTAGTTTTTTTTCTATTCATACATTGACAGTCCGTCAGCAAGTATCTTAAAATGATGCCAATTTTTTAATAAAATTATGTGTAAAGGAAATCGTTGTTTTATTATCTTAATAATACATTCTCTAAGAAATATTTCTACTACACATTTAAAAGCTTAAATCCATTGGAACTTACGAGGACAATTATTCTGATTGCATGCTGTTACTTCATGTTGAAGTCCAGTACAATGTTTTCCTCCTGCAGATGGCATAGGATTGATACAATCCCTATAGTGAGACTTTATCCCACCTCCACAACTTGCTGTACATGCTGTCCATGATGTCCACGTGCTCCAACCACCGTCGGTTACTATGTGACAAAGTTATAGTAAATTCTAATATGTTTAATTTTGGAGATTATACTTTGTACTTGTCGCCTAGTGAGCTTCCTAAAATGATACTTAATCTAGGGTGTGTATGATACTTTAGACGCGATAGTCCTTTTATACCTTCGGCACAAGTTGATTTAGCTGATTTTAAAATCGCCAACCATCATTTCTGGAAATTCTTTGACTAGTTTTTTTTCTATTCATACATTGACAGTCCGTCAGCAAGTATTTTAAAATGGTACTTAATACCTTCGAGTTTAACTATAATTTGTTTAACTTTACATAGTTTGTCAAATAGCATGTAATGCGTAACAATATATTACTCCTATATATTAGTAATTGTTTTGTTTCAATCGCTAATGAAGGAAAGACATGTATCATATTACCGGGACAAACTGCATCGACACATAGTCTATCATCTCTTGAATCACCATAACAATGATCTCCAAAACGTGCAGGATAGGGATTTGAACATGTTCGGTCTCTACGTTGCATTCCAATACCGCATGTTGTACTGCAGCTCCCCCAGCCACTCCATGTTGACCAGTGACCATGAACTAAAGATATAAAGTATGATATTTTACGTGTTTCTGTAGCTGTAACACTATTTCAAAATTTCATTGAATATGACCAAAAAATGAATAAGTCTTTTTAGCAGAATTCAAAAAAAAAATATAATTGTTGATAAAACAATCGTAAATCTTAGTTCTGGGTGACAAAACACGGGCCATTTTGGTTAACAGTACCGAACGTTGTGTGTTAAGACGTTCTGTACAGTCAATGAATTAATGAAGAGATGTGTGGTTCTTTTAGCGGAAAACTGTCTTTATAAGCGAGGACTTTTTTTTTTCAGACAACAAAGTTTAAGGTTCATTTGTAATTTTAATCGAGGAAAAGCATGGGAGTCCATTGTAACATTTATCTAAATCAATGTCAAAATCAAACTTGGACACTAACTTAAGACGTTTTTGTCAAATATGTGTGTTTATGAATAATGAAAAGATAACAGTTCCTATAATTATGTATCATATACTCATAGTTAACAATCGTTGCTTATATAACCTGGACATGGCTGAAGAGTGCACCTCTGAATTTCGTCAGAGTGTCCTTGACAATAATTACCCCCTCCCGCGGGGGCTGGCTCTGTACACGTTCTTTTACGCGACTGGTGACCGTCTCCACAGGTAACGTCACAGCTAGTCCAGGCAAGCCATGAAGCCCACTGACCATCCACTGTTTAAATACAGGGCTGGGAATCAGAACTGCGTCGTATCATACTTTATTTTCAACTGCGTCTTATCATTTCGTACACATCATTTTTTTGAAACAAAAAAAACAAAAAACAAAAACAACAACAACAAAAAACAAAAAACTTCTGCTTTAAATGAAATTTAGTGAATGATGCAAAATTACATTTTGAAGCTTATGGGTATAATCTGAAACGAGTATAATATTGATTGAATTAAATAACAATGGATAAGGCAAAATGAATTACGTCATATCCACAAAACTTCTGGCTCGCTTCGAGTTTCAAGTTCGATATAACTTCTGTTTTACCAAATAGTTCAGCTAGTAACATGTACCAAATTAATGAAACGGAAAATTGTGGAGTTCGTTAATACATAAATCTGGTTTTCAGTGATTTCCAACAAAAAGAGTAATACACCAATATATATATTTTTATTCAAAGATGGCGGTGTTTGTTTACAAATTGTAGGATACGACGTAGTTTTGATTCCCAACTCAGAAATAATGACTCAATAAAGAATTATCAGTTATTTAGTTATTTCAATTGAAAGTATCGTTCCGACAATATAGTTCATTTTCTAATTGTATAGATAAAAAAACTTGAATAGTTTAAGAACAATCAAGTTGCAGTGTCCATGAAAATTCGACCTTGTATTTTATGAAAAAAGGAATCATACAAAAATTTAAAAATGGATTAAAATTTAAATTTTTGTTTTTTGTGGGAAAGTAAAAAACCTTATTTGCTTAAAAAATTACTAGTTAAATAATCCCCAAAAATGTCGACAAAAATGA